CCTGGCGAAAGAAAGAGAGAGAGAGTGAGTGAGAAGAGAGCCGCGTCGCCGGGGAAACTCTCGCTCTCGCTCTTTCTCGCGCTCGCTCTCGCTCTGTCTCTTTCTCTCTCTCTCTCTCTCGCTGTCTGTCTCTTTCTTCGCTTTCTTTATCTTTTTATCGCTCTTTCTCTTGCTCTTCCTTTCGTTCTCTCGCTCTCTCGTTCCATGCATAATATGCCCATGGACATGTACATATATATATACACACACATACATACATACATACATACATACATACATACATGCATACATACGTACATACATACATACCTCTACACATGTTTCTGTATGTATGTTTTTTGCATATATGCCATGCCGCTCCCTGGGTTATCCATCCTTTGTTGGTGGAGGTGAACCGACTGGTCCATTCCTGAGCCGCTATCCGTGCCTGCTCACGCACCCCCCTTTTTCTGTGGATCCTGAAAAGCAAGACGTCACTCCTATCAAGGAATACCTATGCAACCCCGAACCTTCCTCTCTTTGGGATATAAGACAACCTCTGATACAACTCCAATCTGGAAACCTACGAAACAAGGCGATAGAATACTTGAAGGAAGTCTTACCGTGCTCTGAAGTGTAATGCATCTTAATTAAAGCGTCTTGGGCTCTGTGGGACTTCGGTGCAGGCTAACGAGTTAGGTGTTAGGGTCCTGAATCAGAAGAGTCCTGGTTCCGAAACGGGTACCAAACACACGGATCCCATGACTTGGGGATTTCGAACCAGGCCCTTTTTAGTGAGGTTTTGTATGTAGATCCTGTATAAATGTGACTCAAACCGGCACGTACACAATTAGCGCAAGCATGTTTTCATACTTCAAAGCGCACGGTGTATTTGTATAAGTCAATTCGAAGCAAAATCAGCTGAAGATTCTGAAACAGGGTTGACATATCTTAAGTGGGTGTTTGGATCTACCAGCCATTACCAGCCAGACAGCTGGGTAGATTTCATACAATGGTATTGGAAGAACATCTACATAATTTGAGATCAGTCAAACTTGTGCGAATGATGGAGATAAGTTGATGTGGGTGGCACAGTCGTCAAGACTGAAAGTTTTTGAAGCTGTCTGGTTGCATGGTCGAATCGTTGTCCAAGCCGTCCCAAAGGATTGAACTATTTCGAAGGTTACTTCGACAGGCTAAACAGGGTTCAGATCATTGCCATGTAGACTTGCATTTCGGTAGTTTAAAGTTTAAAGAGGTATTTCGACAGCTTGCATGAGGGTTCACATTGCTGCACTCAGGTTGTTTATAAGATTTGGAAACCTGCATGTCCGTGAAATCGTTTAGAAGGGCAGGAGTTTCCACAGTAAGTTGGGTGGTTCGGTCCAGTTAGAAAGCTTCGAAAAGTATGTCCGGTATCTGAAGTTATCCAAACTGGTTAAATCCTTCAAAGCTGTCCAAGCCCTCCACAAAAGCTTGACATGATTCGAAGGTTACGCTGATAGTTTAGAAGTGGGACTCGTTTTTTAAACAGATAATTCAAGTAAGGTTCCCATTAACACACTTACATATCTGTATGAAGATACTGTGAACGAATTTGCAAGGATGTATGCAGAACAAAGGTGTTTGCACGCCGGTCACCTTATGACCAGAAGGGGGTGGACAACGACATATCAACAAGTGCTTAATATTGCAGATATATATATATATATATATGTGCAAGTGTTTCCTCACACCGCATTGGAGGCAAAACACGGTCTCCTTGAAATGCGGCTTCACTATTTCCTGACCCATCTTATGAGGGCATTGGGACGTATGGACTTCTCGCTATTCCTGGCAGGTCCACATTGTGGCATGAGCATTCATACAGCAACCTCCATAATATGATGATTGCCTTTGTAGCTTGTAAGGTTGTCAACTATGTAGCATGGCTTCACCAAACAAGCTAGCACTCATACGAAACATTGTATGGGAATTAGAGGCAGCAAAGACTTATATATATATGTATATATATATATATGTATGTACATGGACCCGACCACAAGATTGAACTGGTCGCCTGCACGTAGCTTTAAATGATAGGCAGTTTCCGGGCAGCTTGCCTGTCTGACGTCAGGCTTCACTAAACTTTTCATATGCTACAATATATGCCGGAAAGCTCTATTCAAAACCACATGCTGTCATGACTAGTGTTGGGCTATGCAAAGGTGTCATGCAAAAACTGGCGAGATATGTATGCCATTCTTTATGTTGAAATGAAAGAGATAGATTGACCGGTGCCATGCATTCATCAGGGGTCGAGACAAGCATGGTTTTGCCGGGGCATTGTTAGAGTATACATGTATGTATATATATATATATACACACACACACAGTTTCAACTCGTATTTGCACGAACAAGTCTATGGCGGTTCGTGTGCGTGCACCAGATGACGAAAACAGTCGGAGCTGTACATGTCGGTACAAGATGTCCGGCTGCTCGTATCAGCGACCGTGTCAGGCCTCGCAGCTTCAGCGTCCTGTTCCGGCCATCGCTGCCAATCTCCACCTTCGTGCGCTAAACCCACACATTGCCGAGGTGGCAGACTTCTTTGCGTGCGTTGCAGCGCGCGTTGCGGCACGTGGCGGTGCATTGCTTGGCCTGTGAGGACGCGCACGACTTTGCTGCGCTCTTTCCCAACTGCTCCGTTGCGGGAAAGGCACTGCCGAAAATCGGATAGCCAGGGCAACAAACAGTCCAGCGCAGTCATCACAGGTGGAATCCTCTGCGGCCTCAGTCAGCTCTTTCGGCTTCGGCGGCACAAACGGGTGTGTGGTGCTGAGACTCGCGGAGAAGGCTGGAAGTAGAGAAGCGCGAGTCAGATAGCAGAGATTTCCAGACGAGATGGTGAAGCTGCAGCAGGCCAGGCGACCTCGACCGTTAGGCATCGACTTGGGCAGGGGCCCAAGATGCCCCGGACACGGACACGCGAGCGCATGCGAGCGCTTGAGCGGAGTTCTCAGGCCGTGAGCGCTTTGAGTGGCGGGAGAACAGCCACCCGCTGATCCGCAAGAAGGCGAGGCGAGAGGACGGGGTGCACGTCCTGAGCTGCCCGGGCCCCGGGCCCCAAGAGGTCGAACCTAAGCGTGGAAAATGTGCGTGCCTGCGTGCCTGCGTGCAGCCAAGCAGGTCCCCTTGATGGCCACGTACTGGAGCTCCTGTCACACCACATCGTGCACGGTGAGGCAGTCGACGACAGAATGTGACACTGACCCGAACTCGCCGAGCTCCTTTCAACCAGAGGTGGTGGTGCCCGGTGCATGCTACTTGGAGATGATCCTTGCCGGCGTGAGGGCGCACCTCGGACAGCAGGCGGGCCGGGAACGGCAAGCGGGCTTCCTTCATTTCATGTCGTGTTGATCTTCGGCAGGAAGCCTGGTGCATCGAGAGCCTGGGCTTTGCCAAGCCTCTGGTTCTCCGTCTCTCGCAGTCGGGCCAGCTGGAGGCGACTGAATGTCCGTCCCCGGCTTGGTGTGGCGCTCATGGTGCTTAGGAGCCGGTGGAGCTGCGGCTCCTGATTTGGGAGGACGGGCGCCTGGAGGTCCGCTTTTGCTCCGGAGCAGCTTCACCTTGAGGCTTCGAGTTTGTGAGCATTCGGCAGGTGGAGAGTGCGGTCGGGGAGGACCCCGAGGACCACATCCTGTCCACCCACGTTGAGGCTGCAGGGCCTGCAGGGCCTGCAGGGCCTGCAGGGCCTGCAGGGCCTGCAGGGTCTTGGGCCTTGGGCCCTCACAAGAAGCCTTGGCGGGCAGGCGAGCCTCATCCGGCAAGCCGGCGGATGGAAGCGTGCGGAGGAGGACAAGCACGACCTGGCACAGCTCAGGCGAAGCTGCCCGGAGGAGGCCTGCGGCAACTCTGCCGTAGCTGAGACACAGAGATACCTACTTTCACCAAGGTCCCAGTCGAACCGACTGTCTTGAAAGCTGTCAGTGAATTGTGGGCCGAGGGTCGTAGTCCTGCCAAGTTCTTTGGTTTATCAGGTGGACGTGGACCTCATGTACTCTTTTGGCGTGAAAAGTGGCCTCCCGCTCCAGCGGCGCTTCCGGTGCGTCCGGCAGGCGAGGCGGCACAATGATGCCGATTGAGGCTTGCGTGTTAGACCCGAGTATTTCAGTAACGTGCCCTGCGTCGGATCCACCTAAGTGGCCGATGGACATGGATGAGTACGTGCACGCGCGGGGGGCAAAGAACTCGTAGCACCAACATCACCAAATATCGCCTATCACTCCATATGCGCCGTTGAGCGAAGAGTACCGCTTCTTGCCATTAGGCCCTGGTGGTGAGTATTGCGAGGTGCAAGTCCAGAAGAGCGAGCGGAAAGGCTTCGCGCGGCTGGAGATGGAAAGGGACGGTGCGCCGCGAGATGCCCTGAGCCTCTGATCGTGGCAGCTTTCCGCGCGAGGTACAGAGCTTGGCTTCCTGCTTGGGCCGTCGCTAATTGATAGCTCCTTCCAAGCTCTGATGGCTCTGGCGGACCCTGCTGTGGGCATCGGCTCCTTGAAGATCCCGCTGTCCATCAAGAGGCAAAAGCAGTGCTAAGCACTGTGAACTGGACGGATGCGAGAGCTTCCGTGTGAGGCTTCAGCCCATGGGCCGGGCATACTCCATTGGAGTCTGGTCGCACTTCGAGCTTTTGGACTGGACGGAGCACTCCACGGCCTTCAGGCCAGAAGCCACTTGGCCAAGACTGGGACATCGGTGCCTCGTTGCTCAGGTGTTGGCTTCTGAATGATGCGGGGGAGACGCTGTTATTCTTCGACTCCGTGCACTTGCAGGAAGTCCGCGATGAACACCTCCAGAAGGCAAGACGCTCTTTAGAATCCGGAGCTGGGAGATGCGTCAAGCGCAGATCTGTGATTTCGCCATGCAGTCCGCCGCAGGTTCTGCAAGCCTCTGGGCGCCTCGGCGCGGAGCAGCAAGCCTTGTACAGTACGATCTGGCGGCCGCTGCCAGAGCTCGCTGAGGCGAAGGCCGGTGGGGGTTCTGCAGTCACGTGCCGTGTGGGGCCGTGTGGGACCGTGAGGCATCGGAGGCGACGTCCCGATCAAAATGGCTTGTCCTTGGGCGACAGGAAGATCTCAGGCCTTTTGGCCCCCGGCGCGTCCCAGATGTTGTTTTTTTGTCGCTGGAGGAAGTCGGGCATGGAAGAGTTCCGCTGCATCGCAGCGGAGGAGACTGGCAACTTCCAAGATGAGGCGGCAGGTTCCTAAGTGCCAGGTCGCAGTCGCTGTATGTCGCTGTCGCAGCAGTGAAAGTCCGCCGCAGTGCCGATGACTGCGCTCTCTGCGAGCCTGCCATCTTCAGGCTCTGCAGGAGCTCTTCCGCGGCTTCGAAGCGCATGCGCTCGTCTTCGTGGGGGGCCTCGGCGATGACTCGCATCGAACATCCGTGAAATGCCACGGGACGGACGATGTGGACGTGCTCGCCTTGGCGCTCCATGTGCTCCGATGCTTGGTTGAAAACAGGATGTTTGCGCCGGGGAAGTCCGCTGACCCTCCATAAACCGTTCCCCCAGCATGCGGTGCGAGCGAGGTGCCGCACTGGCGGCTGGTCTGCCCCTGGTGTTTCTGACGAAAGCGACACAGCAGGTTTTGCGTCCCGAGGTGCCTTATAGATCAGAGCAGTGAGAGCGCAAGGCGAGAGCGTTGTGAGAAGGACCAGCCGGAGCCGATTCATGCAGGGCTCTGGGGCCTCGCACGTACCGCGCGGCTGGAGGACGGCATTTCTGTGTTCGTTTCCTCAATCAGGATCTCCTCTAATGAGGTCTCTCCAACCGACTCTGACGTGTTGAAAAGAAGTTTTGTCATCTCCAAAGTCGCAAACAGCCGCTAACACTACCGTATGAAAAAGCTTGGAGTGTCTCTGTGCCTGCCATTCACTTGGAAGTGCATATATTACATCTAGATCAGAACGTGCTGCACTTCTAGCAGTGACAGCAATGACGGGCAAGGAGCCATGTGGCCAAATTTGGCTAAATCGCCCACGCATCGCCAACGGCAGGAACCGGAGAGACTGCGCCTGGCTTGCGTGGATCTGGACTCTTCGAAGCCTCTGGAAGCCGTAGAAGCTGCGCTCACACAGATGCCACCGACTCGGAGTCATGAGTCTTTCGCAGACCCCACAAACTCTCTCGAACAAACCCCGAGGTCCAAATCAGACTCGCGTGAGGAGGAGACCGGAAGACAGGCTGTAGGTCAGAGAGGCTTTGGCCTTCTCAGGAGCTGTCCTGGCACAACGGAGAGGCCTTCCGAAAGTCTTCCAGAGCTTTCGAGCACTGCGCCGCCTTGCCGCACCGCCCTTCTGCAAACTGGCAGGTGCTCGGCCGGCGCTTGACGCGAAGTGAGCTAAAAGCCCAGACGCCCATGCGCCTCAACATGCCAGCGCGGGGAGCCTTGCAGGGCCCCAAGACGGTGCAGACAGATCAGACAGCACTTTTCCGCTCGCCGCTCGGGTTCGACGCACAGAACTCACAGAACGAGGACTGGTCTGCGCGGTGTGCCGCAAACGCGGCAGCCTCTGGTTCTGGGCTCCGTGCAGCTCCGCATCCGAGCCGTAGGCCCGAGACCCAGCGGACCCCTGTACCGGCGAGTTTCGGTAATCCTGCGCGGGGCCCAGGCCTCAACTTTCGGGACGTCCTCAATGCCGGGTCACCCAGAAGACGTAGGCCGGCAGGCTCGCAGGCTCGCAGGCCTTGCCTTGGGACCCCCAGCCGGCAGAGGGCAGAAACATGCAGAAGCCTTAAGCTTTCGAAGAGACAGACACGCTGTGACACTGACATCAGGCCTTGCAAGTTCTGGGCTCGTACCACCACAGCACCACCAGCACACTGCTTCTCCACCGCCTCACAAAACGGTGCTGCGGGCATGGGCACGAGGCTTTACTTTGCACTTCATAAACCACGGGCCATGTCGCGGTGGTGGTCGTGGTTGTGGTTGTGGTTGTTGTTGTTGTTGTTGTTGTTGTTGTTGTTGTTGTTGTTGTTGTTGGCAGCACTTGCACCTGTCGCAAGACTAAGACCATCCGACTCTCCGGCTTCGCTTTGCTTCGCTTTGCTTCGCTTCGCTTCGCTTCGCTTTGCCTCACTTCGCTCTCCATCTGGGCCGGGCTCTCCTCCTGAGGTCATGGGATTGTATCCCGGCGATCCCGGTCCGCCGGGAGCAGACATGGCGGGCACCGTGCTGGACCTTGCAGAGCACACCGGAGATCATCTTAGGCGCCTCTCTCTCTCTCTCTCTTTCTCTCTCTCTCTCTGTGTCTTGCTATTTCTGTCGCCCACTTCACTTCGGGGAGGCTGGCGGAGGACGTCTTCGGCGAGGCACCGGGATGCCTCAGCAGCTACTGCCTGGCGCCAGCGCAGCGTACCGAGAGCCTCCAAGAAGCTTGCCAGTCACCCAGCCGCAGACACTCCCAAGGCCGCTCATAGCGCCGAAGCCTTCCAGCTGGTCCTTTGAAGAGGCCCGGCCCTTGTTTTTGACTTCGAGCTGCCTCTGAAGCTTCGCTTCCGTTCTGTGAGAAATCGCGACAGAGGGTAACCAAATCGGGGGGCCCCCCAGCTGACACGTGAACCCATCTCTCACACCTATAAAGGCCTCTGAGAGACCTGCCTCCAAAAGTTGGTTCTGGGCGGGACTGCCGGAGTGCTCGGTGGGGTAGAGGGCTTCTACGGTTCAAAACTGCAAGCGCGGCGGGCCTTGCCTGCCCGACTGCCCGAGCGCGACAGGGAGCCCTACCAGGGAAAGTGTGAAGGCGAACTCCGAACAGCGAATCACAAGTAGGACTCCTGTTGACCCTCTTCAAGTTTCGACTGAGGCCTGCACCATGCCGGTCATCTTCGTGACTGTGGAGGAAGCTTTGGGAGATTTGGCACAGCTGAAACGCGGTGAGAGGGCGCGGCACCCGAGCACCCTTCGCGTTGAAGACCCACAGCAATGCGGTCAGTAGGAGGAGACGACGGAGACTCTTTGAGCTAGCGAGGTCTTGATCCATGCCGCAGCAGGGGGTGTGGGCCTGGTGGCGATTCAGTACGCGCAGCACGTTGGGGCAGAGGTCTACGCGACGGCTGGTGCCGAGGTGGAACGAGTAGGCTTGCAGATTCCATAAATTTTCAGGTTGGGGGCTGACTTGCAGGAGAAGCACGAGTACCTCCGCAGCCTCGGGGTGAAGCACATCACGAGCAGCCGCAACGGAGCGCGCTTCGAGGAAGAGATGCGATCCTTCCTAGAGAAGGAGAGCCTGGAATCAGAGAGCCGAAAGCAGTCCTTCCTTAAAACTCTTTCAAAGAAGATCTAGAAGCAAAGGTCCTTGGTTCTGACCCCGTTTCTCAGAGGAGGGGCTGGAAGGAGTCGACGTGGTGCTCAACAGCCTCAGTTTTTGCCTCATGCAGGGAATCTCTGGACAAGTGCGACACTGCGTGTTCGGGGATTGATGAGACTGGTGATCTGAGGTCACGATGACTACATCCCACGGTCTTTGGCGTTTCTGCGCAGTGGCGGTCGCTTTCTCGAGATCGGCAAGAGAGGCACCTGGTCCCACCAGCGAAGCCCTCGGAGCAGAGCGAAGCGGCGAAGCGCAAACTACGCCGCTTTGCTTAGGCAGATGCGGGAGAGCCGCCCGGACGTGATGTACGAAAAGATTGCCGCGGACACGATGATGGAACGAGAGCCCTGGAGGCAGGGAGAGTAGGATGCGCCCTCGGCAAGGCCCAGTACGCTGCCGAATTCCGAAGAAACAAGGGCACAAAGCGCAAGCATGCCATAGCATGCCTATAGGCCTGCAGGCTTGCATCGCAATCTCCGTGCTAGGGCCGCTAGGGTCGCGGCAGATTCGCTCAGGTTGGTACACTGTCACTCACGCATGCAAACATAGAGCGTTAAATAGTGTTTCGCATGCAGTGGCATGCAAGCGTGTACATAAGTATTGGTGCAGTGATACTTGTACGGCCGTGCGTTGACTCGGTCGGTTTGTGTTGATTCATGCACACCATCGTGCACTGCCTTCTCAGTAACAGGAGGAGGGAGAGGTTTGGCAAAAAGGGCCAGGGCCCTTTCAGCTTCGAAAAACCGGAACGAAGCGGAAGGCTCTCACCTTTTTGCCGATTCGCATGGAGAGGTACAATGCCTACCTGAAGCGCTTGAAAGACCGCGTAGACTCTGGGGCGCTGAAGCCCATCCACATGCACATCTTCGAGGGTCTGGAGGAAGGCAGCCTGCAGTGTTCGGGTTTGGGGAGGCTTCAAGCTTGAGCCGCTAGCCGCTAGGTGTGCGTGCACTCCAGTTTCTCCAGCGAGCACAGAACATCGGCAAAGTCGTCATCTCCCAGCTCGGAGCTCGGTCCTTCCTCTGCGGCTCATCGTTGCGAGCTAAGCTCAGGCCGAGTAAGCTCAGCAAGCTCCCAGCCGGAACCCATGTCCTCTCGGGCGGTACAGGTGCCTTGGGAGTGGCCGGGGCCTCGCTTTTGTTCGTCTCCCCTTGCGCCATGCCAGAGACGTTGAGGTGACGGCCCAGTTCCTTGCGGAAGAAGGGGCCAAGTCTCTGTGTCTTCTGTCACGGGCTGGGCGTCCGCCAGACGAGGCGAAACGCAACTCATGACCACGTGCCGCCGTGAGTCGGGATGAGTCGCAGAGTCGCAGGTGCAGGCTCGCTGGAACTGGCTGCAGGCCCCGTTGCGTCGCTTGCGGACTGTGCGCTTCTGTTGCCCTCCCAAGCGGAGGCGAGCACGCTTCAGCTCCAAGTTCTTCGCTGCGACGTCTCCGAGGAGAGCTTTCTTGGCCCCCTTTCAGTAACCAAGTCTTCCTACTTCCCCACGGCTCCGAGGAGGCTTCCGTGCGCTCAGCCGAAGTCTCCCAAGGCAGCGTCATACGTTTTGTCATACTGTCATGAGCCTCGTGGTGGAGCTTTGAAGTAACTAGCGCCGGGCCGCACTTTGCAGTCGCGGAGTGGGCAAGGTGCAACGGCGAACTCGTATGCCGGTTCCGCCCGTTTGCAGTTGTAAGACAGTCGATAGGGTATTTGCGACTTCATGCCAGCCATGGGCCAGAGATCAAGAACAATCCATCGTAGCATAGGCTCGTGTGATCTCTTGTCGCCGCTGTTCTTGAAGAGATGGGGGCGGTGTCAGCAAAAAGCGCCACTGGGCTCCGCCCCGAGGTCGTCGTGTCGCTTCCCTCTTCCACTTGGCTGGAGCGCTGGCCGATGCCATGCTGCCTGCACTCGACCATCACCTTTTCCAGAAGCCTGAAACCCAAGCAGACAGCATGTACAGACGGAGCTTTCGAAATCGGATGGGCCAGGCAACTGAGAGACGGAGCTTTAGGGACTTGGTGTCTGGAGCTTGCGAAGACTGAGGTCCTACGGTGCCAAAGTCCACGGTCTGCGCCACCTTCTGCGCTTTTTTCATGGGGTTGCTGCCTTGGGGCCTTGAGCAGGGCCGCTGTCTGGAGCTGCACTGCCCTCAGGACGTTCCTCTGACCGTGCTCTTCTCTTCGACAAGTTCGCTCTTTGGCGCTCCAGGCCCCAGCTGGGACGGTCTGACGGTCTCCTCTCTCTCTCTCTCTCTCTCTCTCTCTCTCTCTCTCTCGCTCTCTCCGCTACACCTGCCACGGCCATCTGCCACGGAGGTCAAGGCAACTATGCCGCGGCCAATAGCACGCTCGATGCCTTCGCCGCCTTTGCAGACCGAGACGGCCAAGGCGACGGCGCCCTTGTCACGAGGCGAGGGTCCAGCCTTTGCCACAGGCGCCGTGTCCGTGCAGTGGGGGCCTTGGGCTCGGGCCTCGGAGAAATGCCCGCAACGGCGTGCGTCGCCTGCGAGCGGCAGAGCTTGACAGGCCGAAGTGGGCATGGCGGTGCAAAAGGGCACAGTGCAGAGGGCCAAGGCTAGTGGCATCGGCTCGCTCAGCAACCCCCAAGGCCTCCCGCTCGGCAGCGAAGAGCCCTTTGCTTAGCAGTGGCCTCCTGGTGAGAGGCATGGCCATTCTGGCCAGTGTCCTGGGCCAAACTGCCTGGAGCTCGAAACCTCGCATCGCCTCGCTCGGCTGCTCGCGCTTGCATTCGAGGGCGAACCGCGACACTGCTTGGTGGGCGCAGCTCACGTCCGTTGGCCCAAGTTCCTGCGCAGCGTCTTCGCCGGCAGCCCAGAGAGTCTTCAGAAGTTAGGACCGTTATAGGACTCCCAGACGCCCGAGGCCCAAGCGCCGCCAGCCTCCTTGCTGGACCTGGCCGCAGAGGCCGCCAAGAGCACCGACAACGCTGATGCAGGCGCCAGGGCCAGAGCGCCGCAAGGGCCGCAAGGGCGCATGAGAAGAAGCGCTAAGCAGATGCTTGCGGGGCGTGTTCCTGGCCTTAAGCGCTTTTCTGCAGGAGCGGGCATCTCAGCCGAGCTGGCGGCGCTTGGGCCGGAGGAGCGGCGGCAGCGCTTGGAGGTGCTGGTGCAGCGCTTGGCCAGCGACCCTTGGCGGATAGTCAGAGCAGCCGAAGGCGTGCTCAGGTTTAGTTTCTTGCCGCTATAAGGATGTGGTGGGCGAAGAGATGTCAGGAGACGTGGAGCTCCTGGAGCAACTCTGTCTGCAAGTCTGCATGCTGCTGGTGCTGCTGCTGCTGCATCGGAAAGGGGGGCGTCTCAGTCAGGTCCGGTATGGACTCTTTGTCTGGCGTGGAGTTCCGAAACAGGCTTCAGCAAGAGTGCTGGCCTTAAGCTGGTCTTGCGAATACAAACTCCATGAGATCTTGGGTTTTTTCAGGCTGGGTGGCATCCGACTGCCAAACTCTGCCGTCTTTGACTTCCCCACGGCCTGGCCAGCCTTTCTCTGCGCATGCAATCCAGCAAGCTATCCAGACCTGCAGTGTACGAGGCGAACATGCTCGCAGGCTTCATCGCTGGCCAGTTTTCGACGGGCCCGATGTCCGACGAGGTATCCCATTAGGCATGTTCTTGCTGTTTGCACGCAGAATCGGGCAGGCTGCCCCAGCCGCACAAGTCACTGGCGACTCGAAGATCTTGCAGCTCTTGAACAATAGGCAACACAGCGGGGGAGTTGCAAGCCATCGAGCTGTCCATCCCCGTGTCAGGACGGCTGGCCCGGGCCACCCTCCGCTTTTCCTGGTGCCTGGCGCTGGCTTGCAGGCGATGCGGGGGCAGCCGAGCTTGGGCTTGGGCTTGGGCTTGGGCTTGGGCTTGGGCTTGGGCTTGGGCTTGGGCTTGGGGGCAAATGGCAAGTCTGCGCAGGCCGCGGGCTTCCAAGCCTTGGCCAGCTTGCTGCCGGTGCCAACCTGGAGCGTCTCCTGGCCCCAGAGCCTGCCCAGGGAGAGGTCCGGGATTGCACCTTGCACTCCTTGCACTCCTTGCACTCTTGAGTCGCCAACTGCCTGCTGCCGCCTGCTCTTCCCTTTCGGAGTCTTTTAATCGATCAAAGCGCCAGCATGGGCAGTCCACGCCCTCGCCCGTGGCAGCTCAGGAGACGGCCATGGCCATGGCTCTTCTGCTGCGGTGTCTGCGTCATTTCTCTCTGCACCCTCTGCGGCCTCGAGAAGGCCCAAGGCTTTGTTGCCCAAGCGCTTGGCCCGAACCCGGGCCTTGCTAAGCTGGGCAGAAGAGACACGGCCCTTACAATCTCGGCGGAATCCGCAGAGGCGGCAGAGTCTGGTGCTGCTGGGGTGGCCTTGGCTGCACCGGAGCGGTCCCGGTCGGTGCAGGTCTGGTCCGTGCTTGGTGTGGCTACGTACTTATCCTACGGCATAAAGAAGGTGGTGCCCATCGTACACCAGGGCCTCGCCAGCATCACCACCCCCTGGCAGTGGCTCATGCTCGTGGCCACGTCCCTTGCCGTAATTTTCCCGTTCTGTTTCTTTTTTCTCGTCCATCCCTCGCCTCTGTGCTCTTTGGGCTGCTTAGGCTGGGGTTCTTTGCCTATGTGGAGGGCTACAAGGGCTTCCAGAAGGGTTTCTGCCCGCGGGTCGTCAGCCGCGCTTGGGTCGTATCGGAGAACTTCCCAGAGGTCTCAGCAAGGCCAGGCAGAAGCGCACGTGCGAGCGGAGCACTAAGATGTAATTTCAGACGCCAGGTTCGTATCATTTGCTGCAGGAGTGGAGGCGGTGCGAGAGGTCCCATGATTCGTCAGAAGGTTTTCGTTTATAAGACTGTAAAATTTGTCATGGGAAGCAAGAACTTACAGTCTGCCCGCGCATGCAGTTGGACATATCATATTGTAATATGGCTTTTTCAGACGCGTAGGCCTTGTCGCAGTAATGCAGGGACTTGCTGAAGCGGTACGGCGCAGCCTACCTGGTCTCCTCAGTGTTTTTGTCCATAATCTCTTACACACTCTTCTATGAGCTTGTGAAGAGGGGCCTTGATGTTACTGGTGCTCTGGCGGCCATCGGCATCACCGTGGCAAACAGCAAATACTACGGCTCAGCAGCCTTGGCTTATGCGCTGCACAAAGCGGCATCTCCCATCCGTTTTCCACCGACACTCCTCTTGACGCAATTTGTGGCTCGGATGATGGGGAAGGATGTATCTGCAACGCAAAGAGCCGCAGCCACTGTCCTTCACAAGCTCTTTGCCCCTGCATTCTGCATCGGCTATTTCCACGGAACTCGAAAGCGGGTTATCTCCAGCTGGTGTGTGACCACCGTCATCTTCTTTGTCGTTTTCTTTGTACGTAAGCTGGCCAACCCGTACCGTGCCATCCTCGACGCCCCGCGCTTAGACTCGCTCAGATCCTGACTCCAGCAGTTTCAGGCAAACATGCGACAGTCTTGTTTCCCTGAGGCTGGCGTCATCGTGGGACTCCTGTGGGGGACGGTGTCAGTTCTCCTCTTGTTTGCCCGGTCCCTCCGACAGGGCAAGCCTCCTGAGTTTGACCCGTGCCTGCCAGCCGATACGCCCTACCATCCAAACGCATTCTGAGAATTCAGTTATGCCTTTGGAGCGTGCTTGAAGAGCAGACCGCGCGTCGTAGCGTAACATGCCAGAAACACCCGACTTGCCAAGTGACCAAAAATGCTGACCGGAGAAGCTGCTGCGAGTGAAGCGAACAGACACACACATGATCACACTGTGCACACTTCAAACTGCAGTAGGATTTCTCATTGCATTTTGCCATGCAGAGGTGGCCTTCGTCTCTGGAAGCCTTGGCAGAACTGCTCCTGGCCGAGGCGAGGTCGGGCAGCTTCTCAGGGAGCTCCCCTCTCCATATATATATATATATGTATGCATGCATGCATGCATGCATGCATGCATGTGTGTATGTATATATATATATATATACTTATATATATATATATATGTATATTTATTTATTTATGTCAATGCGTACATGTCTTGCTCATTGCCTCATTGCCTCATTGCCTCATTGCGCTCGTTGGCTCATGCTCAACCATGCTCATTGCTCTCTTGGGAGGTCCGGGCGGTGGTGGACGCGTCGGAGCCGTTGCTGCTGGCTGGACATTCCTTCGGTGCCACAGTTTGCTTGGAGATGGCCAGACAGGCGGAGGCCAATTGGCGGCACCTGTGGCCTATCTCTGCGAATAGTTTCTTATTTTTCACAAGCATGCGCACAACCGCGTTGATTCTGGCATACAGTCTTCCAGGCCTGAGGGACCTCTTGAAGGTGTTCTCCCTGAGCGGCCATAACCTTCTAGCCGAAGCTAGCGCAGAATGTTTGCTTTAAGCATACTTGCAGAGAAGCAAAACCAAGCAGAAGAATTCCGTACAAGGCTGTATCAAATCTACATTGTACACTTTACAAGCTAGAGTAAGTCATGACTCAAGAGGCTTTTCTACCTAGACATCTTCTATATTCTATAGTTACTGCAACGACATGGCAAAATACAAGCATCGTAGCACAGTTGCAGACTGCTACCCCCTGTACCTGACATGCTGGACTCAACAGGGCTCCTTATAATGCCTCCTCCGAATCTGCTGGAGCCTGGTGTTCAGGCCTCGGCCCAAGCAGTTTCACTTGTGATGCTGCTGGACCCGCGGACGCTGCTCCCCGTGGCAGCCGATGCAGGCAAGGAGTCAGGAGTGCAGTGTGGGGGCAGATCCGAAGTCGAGACATCTTCAACGCTGAGAGTGCGCCGCGTTGAAGAACTGTCAAGGAAGCAGCAGGAATGAAGGAGGGAAGGCCGGCACGAAGGGAGGAAGGAAAGATAAGCAAAGCAGCTAGGCGGCTTAATTGTTCGCTTTTGGAGCGCAGCTGGCAGCAAAACAAAAAGGTTGAAGAGCCGAATTTGGCACCCAATCCCTGTCGGAGCGAGGCAACACAAAACGCCGTAGATTCTGTAGTGCTCCCGCAATGTCGGAAGGGTTCGAGGCATTTCCTGCCATGGCTCAGGTGGCCTTTTCGAAGAGTGTGGCATGCTGGAAACCGTCGCGATGCTTTCTCAAAGCGTTGCAGACGGTGCACGCTACGCATCGGTAGTCGAGGACCTGGCTCAGCCGGTGCTTCGTTCGACGTCGAAAATAGTTATTGTGTAATGCCGTGAGGAATCCGCAAATGCCGAAGATCGCGAGGAAGCAGTGCGTCGTCTGCTAGGCTCACCCCTGCGCATGCTGCGTGCTGTTTTGGCCCTCTTCCGAGCGCAGAGAGGCCCACAAGTGGCACCGGTCTTGGAGCATATCCACGAGACGTTCCGCTGGTATGCGGGGCTGCTCGCGAGTCGCCGCAACCCCAGCAAGCGGAGTCAGTCGCTGCTGTCGGAGTCGGAGCAAAGGACCCGAAGTGTCGGAGATGGCCCTGCGAGCCAGGCATTCAACTGATGTAGATCTCGGTGCTCGGCGGGGATCACACTGCCTGCCAGGATGCTCTGGGTCAGGGCAGAATTTCAATCCGCCGAGGCGGCTGCCGCTTGAAGGGCGTCCGTCCGACTGTAGAGCTTGCATGAGCTTGCAGCTTGAGGCCGACTCCACCGCGAAGGAGATCGTGCAGCGCGTCCAGGCGACAAGAGGAGGGGTTCGGGCTCCGGTTCGGGGTTCCAATCGTGCCAGGCAGAGATTTTCCAGGGAGATGAAGCGGTGGCCACGCACCTGAAGTCAATGGGTGCTGGTGGAGAAGCGGCGTCGAAGGACGGGACTCCAGATCGAAGCGAGAGTCCTTGGGGCCATTGCGGGTGCTGGTCAGGCCCCGGTTCTGGCCCGCGGAGATCATTTCGCCATGCTCCACGAGCCTCACGTGGCCGCACTGGCGATGCAGCCGCTGCCTTGGCTTTGCGCTTTGCAGGGCTTCGCCATGCTTCGCCGAAGCCTTCCCTTGCACAGGCTCTGCCATGCGATAGTGGAGGCCTTTGAGGGGCCGGGCAGGACTAGCACTGCGGCACCGTGCAAAGCCGTGCGAGAAGCATCTCGAAGCCTGGCTTGGCGAGGACCTGACAAGTTAGAAGAGAGAAAAGTGAGAAGCCACATCATATAGGGCGTAGCGAAACAAGCCGCCCTTGCGGAAGAAGGTGGGCTTGAAAAGCAGGCAACCTATTTCCTCACCCGTCTCAGTCCCTCGACGCTCGACCTCACGGGCCTCGGCCTCACGTGCCCTGCCCGTCTCGCGGTGCTCAAGCTCGACCCGGAGTCGCGCGAAAAGGCGCTCCACCCAGGAGGATGGCAGCGAGCGTCGAAAAGCCCGCGAGGAAAACCAGTCCAGCACGTAAAGCCTGACGGCCTGACGTCCTCGACCTCTGAGACCTGAGAGAGCTGCAGTCTGCACCTGCAGGCATCCTTGAAGCTGAGGCCCTGGCGGCGCTCGAGGAGGCCCTGGCGGCCCAGCGCCGCGCGGAGCAGCTGGTGGCGGAGCTGCGGAACCAGATGGGCCAGTGGCTCTCCGCCAACAGGCGAGGGCCGTGAGGGCCGCGAGCAGCAAAGAAAGGCAGATCAGGCAGAGGCTCTGAAGTTCGACCTCTCCTTCAGGCAGACGATGGAGGTGGCCCTCCGAGGCTTCAGCAAGCTGGCTTCGATCACCGGCCACAAGGTGAGCCCCTCTCTTTAGCCTTCCCCGTCGCAGCCCCGGCTGGTCTTGCCAGGTACCGCAAACCGAGCTGAAGTTCATGCAGGCGCAATACAACTCCGCAGAAAGTCTCTGCTTGAGTGCCCGTTGCAGGCTTTCGCTACGGCAGAACCGACGCCGATGGAGGCACTGGCGGCGGTGCGGTGCACGGTGGATGTGACATGGAGCACAAGCCTAGTGAGGTACTCAAGGCCATGAAGGAAGCATCGCCTAAGTTCGAGGCCGTGCCGCGCGTCATCTGAATGTGCAGACTGTTTGCTTTGCATCGCTTTGACGTGGCTTTCGCATGGCGTTGCTGTGCAATTTGAGGTTTGGGTCAGCGAGGCCTTGGCCAAGTACGCAGCGAGCTTCGCCAAGGATGGCACACCAGCCCCGCCCGTGGAGGTGCCGACGAAGGACCCTCCCCCCAGGGAACGCCGGCAGCTTCTCTCTTCTCTCATCTTCTCTCCTGCGCTCATCCTCCACGCCGCAGGAGCCGGAAGCTCCGGAAGCTCCGCAAGCCAAGGAGGTGGTCTACAAAGGCACCGGCAACTCTGCACGCTCTTGATTAGAGTAGACTGAGCTACTCTCAGGAGATCCCAAGGAGGTGCAGGACACCCTCCGTCAGCATTTTGATCCTTTCGCAAATTTGTATTCTGGCACCTCGTCAATTTGGGGCTCAGTGGTCTTTGGAGGGAGGACAGCGGGAAGCAAGACATGCAAGACAACGGCTCGCAATCCTGCGTGAACAGTGTAAACCTAGGAGGCATCTATGCGCCTGGCAAGAGCTCAATTCAGTGGGGCTGCACCACATTGCATTTTTGGGTTGTGCAAACAGGCTGTGTTCGGCATGGGGTTGCCGCAAAGGATCAAGTGCCGTTCGTGGGTCCAGGAGCTGAAGCGCATCACGCAGAGGCAGCAGGTGGCGCTGTGGCGCTGTGCAATGACACGTTGTGGGCACCTGCCAGCCTTTTCACCAAGCGCGTCGCTCCTGTAGGAGGAGATCTCCAAGCTGCTTCTCACCATCGACGAGCTGCGAAAGCGCATGGAGAACATCAAGGCTGGACGGGCCATGGAGTTCGAAGGTTTCTAGTTCCCTCGCTTCCCTCCCTTCCCTCACTCTCTTCTTTCTTTCTCTGGCTACAGTCTCTCGTTGTCTCTCTCATCCATGTGTCGGCCCTCCTTTTGATACGGGCTTTTTGAGTTTGCAGTGCAGCACTCGCTACTAGTTACTAGTCCGCTGTCAGGTCGTGTCATTAGATGCCGGCCCCGGTGTTGCCGGCACGGTCGACAACATTATGGAGAAAGTTGGCCTGAAGGAAATTGCAGGGAGGTGAAGTTAGCCGTGTGGGCATGCTTGCGATGCGGTGTTCTGAGGACATCATGGAAGCCGGCTTGGCACGGAATCCGCCGGTACTGAAAGGTGTTTTTGAGCGCCTTTACTCTGATGCCACGCAGCGCATCCAAAGGCGGACAGGGCAGGGGAAAATGGCGGGCGGGTGGTGCTCGCCGCATTTTGCAGGTACGGCCTGATCCGGCAGCAGATGCTTCTGGCGAACAAGGCTTACGCAGCAGTGGTGGGGGCCGTCGCTTCCGAGGAGGTGAGTCGAAGGTCGAAGAGAGTGCCACTGCGGCCTATAGCACTTAGCCGTCCAGGAGCAGCAGTGGCCTGATTTCGAGCGGCTAAACGACACCACAGATGCCACGATCAGGGGCATGTGGTGCGCCGGGAGCAACGATTCGGAGAAGCACAGCTGCTTGGAAGATCTTGGAAGGTACCACACAGAATACCTCTTCCGAAGCGCCTGTGAGTACGCCATGACGCAGGGTGTGGAGGTGCGGTCGCATCGCGTTGCTTGCAGTGCTGGGCGCAGATTTTCCAGGCTACACTGGTGAAAACGCAGCAGAACTTGGTTTCCGAGTTTGAGGAGAAGGCTCGGCCACGGACCGATGGGCGCCGTCGCGGTAGCATCGAAGCACCTGATTTGAAATTTTGTGACTGCTCCCGTCGGATTTTGGGCCATGAGGTAGGAAGAGCAGCCCTCGTCAGAAGTGGAGTCACTGAGACATCGCTACTAGCTCCGCCGCTCCACCTTACCTTGGCCGCCTTAGCTTTTTTACCTTGATGCATGTCCCCGTTTGGCAATGGCTCTGACGCTTCCGAAGCCGCTCCGAGAGCTCGGATGTCCAAGCGCGCGCAGAGGTGCCCCAGGCAAGGCCCGACGAGCCGAGTTTCAAGTGACGGCCCCCGGTCTCTGCGCGGGTGCCGCACCGCTGGCTGCGGCCTGGCTGCGCTGTGACCTGACGTCAAGGGCAAAGGCAGCGAGTCGCCGGTCACGCCTGCAGAAGGCCGGACGGAGGAGGATGTATGCAATAGAGTTTCGGTCATTTCAGCCGAAGGTGGCAAAGCTTGCCGAGAAGGCTCCGAATGTCGCTCGACTCAGGCGCGCTCTCATGTTCTATTCACATAGCACAACCCAAAACAACGAGGTGACTGCTGCGAGCGTGCATCAAGCTGTCTTGGCGTCTTCTCTTTGCTTTACATGTCCGGAGTGGGAATGTGAAGGTTGCACGGGCTGGAAGGCTTCCGCCACGACTTCTTCGAAGCCTTCTCGGAAGAGGCACTGCGCGCAAGCAATGTAAGAACCATGTATGTAAAATATTAAGGACTAGGCAGGGAGCGGCCGAAAGCGCGCCATCGTGCAAACGATGCGACAGTGGAGTGATCAAAGTCCTGGCTTCCATGCACAGGACTTTCTGTGGAACGCTATCAAAGATCCGGTGCGGACAGAGTCCATCCCTCAGATTCATTGTTTGGACTATGCTGTTTGCGATTGCAGCAGGAGAGCGGTCACGCGGTCCTTCAAGCTTGTCGTCAAGTGGCTGCCGGAAGAGGCTGACACCACGCACGGGCCGTTGAAACCTTTTTTAGCACGGCCACCAGTTTTCTCGAGGCCCTCCACGAAGTGCAAAGGCTCTTTGTCGACTCGTCTTCGGCGCCGGCGCTGTTGCTTTCGGGTTTGCCGTTGGACTCGGAGATCCCTCCCACGCCAATGCTCCCTGGCGACTTTCGCCTACCTGTGGCCGAGGCCTAAACATGACGGAGACAAAGAGACGTAGACTCGTAGACGGCGTGCGGGTGCGGCCGTGTGTGACAGGCCTGGCTGCTGGGCTTGGCTCGTTGCCTCGGTCTGCCATACGGCCTCTTGGGGCCCGGAGCTTTCAAGCAGTCGACTTCGTATCTGCTGCTTTGGCCTTGGCAGATCTTTGCAGGTTCTACACCGAGAATGCGCGCGGAGGGCTGATCCGGGACCTTGCGCCGAAGCCAGGCGTAAGGTCTCGGGGCCACTTGGGCTTCTGTCTGCCTTTGCCTGGGAAGGTCTGGGTGGCATCAACCAGCCGCACATCCAGCTGGGCTTCCACCGAGACGTTCCAAAGCGGAGCCCAGGGAAGTTGTCTCCTCGGGACTCTTCAAGGATTCTGCGCTTTTCTTTGTCGAGGTGCGTGTCCGGTGCCCAGAGCGAGCCTGACGGCTTTATTCTTCTCGCAGCTCGTGGCGATCCACAGGCCACGCATGCGAAGCGGTGATTTGCATCCGGCATGTCGATGTGCGCAGTGACTCAGAGTGTCATGAGGGGTATGATGTTGCATTGGAAATTCTTCGAGAGTGTGGCAGTTCATGCCAGCACGGCGCGAAGACGCAGATCTGCTCCCACCGACGCCTGGCCGCGTGCTTGACATCTGATGAGCTGCAGGTGGAGTCGGCCGCTTTTTGACATGTGCACCTTTGCGCGCGCGCGCGCGCGTGTGTGTGTGTGTTTCATTTGCAGGCTCTTCGCCGCAGCCCCGTGCGAGTGGAGTGCGTCAGGAGCGGGGCATCAAGCAATGCTTTATTTTAAACGCTTCGCGTCGTCCTGTACTTGCAGCAGGTGCATTGTTTCGGAAAGCAGGTAGGTCACACAGGTGCGGTCTTGCGTGAAAGAGTGCATTTGCTGAGGCTCTGATTAAATAATCCCACTTGAAAGGTGGCACATTCCCTGCATTATCCTGTAGACATTAGTCTGAACATCGTATTGCACTTCTTATTACAACCTCCCTTTTGTTGAAGGGGAATAGGGAATTAAGCTTTGCACCAAAGTACCTCAGAAATTTCAGGCTCTGGCATCAATTTCACGAATGAGGTAAGCTAGCCTGTCTTGCTTCGCCCGCCACGAGGAAGAGACGAGGGAAGGGTGAAAAGGGAGTGGGGGGGGCTGGGGAGGTTAAGAGGTGGGGAAACAGGGAATCCCTGTGAGAACCTCTGACCGCTTCGGCCGAGCCCGAGGCGAATTTAAGCGATTTTCCTATTTGATAGCGAGCGGAAGGCCGGACGGAGTTTCCCCATATGGCCGAGCGTTCTATGCGGTCACAGGCTCCGAGGTACCGCTGATAGGGCGCCCCTATATGGGGGCTTAGAAGCGGAGCCATGCCAGAACGAGCCCGAGATCACTTTCTTCTACATTCCAGATCACAAGGAGAGAAGTTGCTTCAATGTGAAGTTGCCTAATGTTGCCGAGTGATGACACGGAGGAGTTTTCATATCGGATAGTCAGCGAGGACGCCGAGACACAGGCATTACAGCTTTGGCAGTGCGTGGTCCAGATTTAAGCCTGCTTGGAGGCTGCCTACTGCCGTGCACTGGCAGCGGCTGCAGAGACATGCGACGATGTAGACTTGCAGGCGCAACCCCCGTTGACATGTAGGTACCGAATGTACATTCAATAAATCGGTGGATATCTTGTCCAATCCTGTTCTGCTGTCGGGTCTCTGTCCTGGAAAGGCTGGGGACGCGCTGCTCATCGACAATGCTCGCTGCAACCATGCGCGGACGGCATTCGAGCCGCAACAGGAGCAGTGAGCATGGCTGCATTTGTCATCATTATTGGCCTTATCAGGACGGAACGGACCGGTGGCTGCTGAAGACCTTCGTTTCCGCAGGTTAACGGACTGTGACGTCTGCCGGCGCCCCAAGATGGAATCTGTAGAGAATCGCGTCACTGTGCAGGTGGATGGCAGCGGCCAAGACCTTCGGCTTCACTGGCCTGGCCTGGCTTGCTAGCAAAGCCCTAGGAACAAAAAAGGGGCTCCTTTCCGCAGCTTGCCGCTTAGGCCGTGTTGTTTCCCCTTGCTGAGCCGTGAACGTCAAATGCAGCAGGTCGAGGAGAGCTTCAGCCCTGCGGCCCCGCGCCGGGAGAAGCCGCCAGGGTTTCGGGCCTCAACTTCGAGTTGCTCCGTTGCTCCTTTTTCTGTGGGGATGCAAAGCCGATCCGAGGCCTCCAAGACGCCAGGAGCGAGGCACAGTGGCTGCGGCTGCAGGCAGTCGGCAGCCCTTTCGGAGTTTTGGCACATCGCGAGGCATCAAGGAGGAAGCTTCCAGGCGCTCAGAGCTTCCCAGCAAGCGACGACCCGATGAGCCAACGCCCTTCATGTCTCTTGGCTGCAGGGGTCCCTGCCTTCTGCACGCCCTGTGGGAATTTCGTCTTCTGGAGGTCCTACATGGCAGCATTACGGGAGGTGCAGGGACAGCTGGCCAAGGAGGTGGTCCAAAGCCTCCCCGAGAAGCCGCCGGGAGCCCAAAGAGCCGTGACCGGCTCAGAGAGGACGCGGCCCCTTTCTTTCGAGGCGGCACGGGACCCGTGGTCTCGACGAGTTCCGGACACTCAAGGACGCCTGCGACAGGCGCCAGAAGGGGCAGTGGCAGACAACAGCGCAGCGGCCCAGCGCCAGGCCGCCGATGGCTTTGCCGACTTCGACCCCGTCGTCGCTGGCGACCAGCCGCAGCCTGCCGGCCTTGCCCAAGACGCGCGGCCTGCACGGTGGCCTGCAGGACTTGGCATGGGCATTTTCTTCAGCCCTTGCAGCGGCATAACTTGCAACGATGTGCACCTTCATAGCTTGTGAAACCAGACGTTTGCACTCATTCCGAAGCGCGCAGGAGCCAGAGGCAGTGCCGAGCCCACTCACGAAGGCCAGTGCGAAGATGTTCTAGTCTATCTGTCTATCTATCTACCTGCCTGCCTGTTTGCCTGTCTGTCGGGAATCTATCGGTCTCTCTCCATCCAGCATCAACCGTCATCAGCCGATGGAAGACATGCTTGCTGCCAATCCCGCGTTGTCTGCATAGCTTCATGGGCTGCATGGCTGCGCTGGCCGCAGCGATTGTGCGACCGAACACAGACAGGAGCAGGATCCGAACAACTCTGTAGGGAAAAGCAGGTCTCAGCTGCAGCTCGCTGTGATAGTTATCTGGGAGGCCAAGATGGCTGCGACGATGATGACTTGACTTCCTGCGCTCGTCTCACGTATCACCCTCGCGGAGAGCACCCTCTCAAAGAGAGCAGGTGCTTGGAGAGACGGAAAAAGGGCGGTATGCACGGAATCGGCAGTAACGCTGTTGGCATGAGGAGTGGTACAGTAAATCCTGACACGACATTCTATGTGAACACTGTGTGTCTCCTCTTTTCACGACGCTCTGCGGTGATCGGTGATGGGTTCGCTTTGTCACAAGGAGGGCTCTTGAGCTGCGATTAGGCGGCTGAGGCTGTGACGCCATGGCGGCCATGGCGCCCAGTGGACGAAGGCTGGCGCACTTGAGCATGTGCTTCTTCACCGCCATTGCGCTTGCATCATCGGGTTGAACTTCCTGACAGGCAGAGGCTGCTGGCAGTATTGGTGTTGGTCGTTGCGTCGGGGACTCGATTTCCACGGCGGGTTCGTCGTGTCAGCTGATCAGACCCCCTGTTGTTGAGGGCCTGTTTGTGGAGATGGGCGGGTGACAGCTTCGTTGCTCCAAAGATCGGTGCCGAGACCGGCCGGAGCCCGCCGCCACGAGGCCGAGCGCGGGCGCGCCGCGCGTCTCGTCCCGGCCATGGGAGCATCCTCCACTCCGTGAGGTCCCGTTCGTGTGGCCCGCTTCGCAGGCGACAGCGCAGCCGAGGTGTGCCTGAACCGGGGGGTTCCTTGAAACCTGCGATGGAGTCCTCAACTCAATTTCAGGACTCCGTAGAGATCTCCGGCTTCTCCGGATTCGTGGTTGGCCTCGCATTTCTGCCACACACATGCTACGCCCTCCTGACGGCCGTGAACCTTGTGAGGCGCGTTGTTGCACGGGCATCGCATTGTTACAGTAAGCACCGCCAAGCAAGGGGGGACAGGGATGGACTGGATGGACAGGGGGGAGAGCTTCCCCTTCTTCGGCTTCGAGCTTCTTTCGAGCGTGGTGTCACTTGGTCATCGCCCCAGGGTCCCCAGGGCAGTCGTCGCACGTTTCTAATGGCCGTACACGGGCTTCCAAGGTTTGGTGGCCTGGTCGTTGGGCAGCTTTCTTCAGCGTGGTCGAGGAAAAGGGCCGACATGACCGGATTGAGCGGAGTGGCGCAGCACTGCAGCAGCACAGGACTGCCAGCTGGGCCCCTCGGCTTGCTGGGTCTCTCAGAGGGGCTCTCCTACCTGGTTGCACCTCGTCCGGAGTTAAGAGACTGAGAGCGAAACTTGAATGACTTGAGCTCCTTTTGCGTGCTCCGCCACTGAGGCCTTGGGCCTCCTCGTAGCAACGGCCGCAGCCGGAGTACGAGCAGGCCAGGCCCTGGGCAAATACGGGTGCGCCATGAGGCAGTCGTTAAACAAATCTATGAACTGAAAGACACAAGTTGTCGGAGCGTTCAGTTTCTATCACCCCGCGCATTCGATGCTAATTCTCCCCCAAGAGACCTCCCGAACACGCTTTCATGTCAGCCCTGCTATGCTGCGCATGCCCCCGTGCTTGTGGACGTATGTGTTTCACAAGTCAGGACCTTCGCTGCCCAGCTTGAGCGTGCCCAATGTCAGCATACCGAAAGTCAGCCTTCCAACGTCGCTTCCAAAGGCGCGTTACATCATCCTTTCGAAGCGGAATTACGGAGCGAATGAGAGAGACATGAGCTGAGGGCATGGACGTGCCTTCCTTCAAGGCACACTGTCTGGGTGTGTGAGTTGTGCCCCACATAGTCTCCTCGCCCTGGCTTCCGACAGGCGCCTGATGTGAAGCTGCCAGACTTCAAAGCAAAGCTGCCGGACGTGAAAGCCGCGGCAGCAGTAGCAGTACCATCTTGGAAGAGAAACTCCACTCGCGCAGGTGCCCGATTTCAAAGTGCCGGACATCAAGGTTCCAGACATCAAGGTGCCAGATGTCAAGATCCCGGATGTCAAGGTGCCTGCAGGTCCTGGTCGTATGAAAATGACAAGAGTTCCATGCAGGTGCCGAAACTCCCAGAGGCAGGAATTTGACCATAGATTGAAATGCCAAAAGGCACAGAAAAGCACTGAGAGGCGCTGAGCACTCCATGAGCACAACCTGACATGGGCAGGTGAAGATTCCAGACGTGAAGTTGCCGAGCAAGGAGGAGAAGAAAGAGGCCGACATCAACAGCCTTTGTTGTCAATGTGTCATTAGACAGAGACACACAGCTGGAAGGCACCTGCGCCTCCTGCGCCTCCTGCGCCTGCTGCCCCCAAGAAAGCCGAGGCAGGATTTGGGCGCGAACTTGCGGCATTCCTCCAGCGTCCAACCCGAGGCCAAACCCTCCGCCTCCTCGGAGGACCTCTTTGCCTAACGAGGGCGCCGAGCGTGGCCTCCGCTTCGTGCGTCGTTGAAATCCATTTTACCGTTTTCGGAATCCTAAGCCCACTGCCACGAGATGTGGTCCCGAGTCCAGCGCCGGAAAAGCTCTGCCGCTGTTTCCGCTCATTCTCAGAGCTTCTATCCAAAAGCCAAAGCGTCGCTTGAATTCGCTTGAGGTGTCTTGAGCCTCGTCCGAGATGCTACGCGAAGACGCAGCTGAGAGCCGCATGCGTGTCTCTCTGCAGCGGCTCGAAGCCCCGCGACCGCTCTGCTCTTACAAAATGGCGGAAGGCCACGACATGTTTTCATCAGACCGTGTTACACCTTATAGTCTGGAGATCTCTGCTAGCCGCTCTGATGGATGGCCATGGCCTGGCGGTGGGTGTGGCTGCTACTGTCTCAGGGCCGAGGTCAAGACTGCGATGAGGCCCACGGACATCCACGGACCATTGCTCCGAGTTTCTCCCTCCCTGCAGTTCCTGTCCTGGAGGTGTTCGGCGACGTCTTCGAGGTGTCCTTGCTACAAAAAGCACAGCACTTGAGCCGAGGAAGCCGCGCGTAGGGGGCCCTTAGCTCAGAGCCGGGCTGTGTCGGGTCGACTCGAGGAGCTGTGAAGCCGCAGCCGGAAGAGGCTCGACATTTTCTCGAATCTTCTTAGAAAGAGGGAAGCTGAGCTGCCCTCACAGGAGACTGCCTGCAGCGGTTCCTTCCGGGTCTGCAGCGCTGCAGAGATCCTCGAGCCGCATTCGGAACTCGATGTTTTAAATCTAAGCTGCGAAGACTCGAATGGTTTGCCATGGCCGCAGCTGTGAACTGAGGCGCCATGTTTGTGCATACATCCCGGGATGCAGCTGGCATCGTGAGAGTGCATATGGAGGCGTCTCGCGCACACTTGGGCTTGTGCTTGGGCATGCTTGGGCACAGCATCTCGGCAGGCTGGTGCCTGGAGAACTCCAAAAGTGAAAGAAAGCGCCTTGAAGCCGGGCTTGCTGGAGCAAGAGGGGGTGCAAAGGGGGCCTGTGCGGCGATGGATGGTACCCGATGTGCCGCCGAGCCCGGCTGCCGCTGGGAGCGCAGCTGGGAAGCGGAGGGTTTCTGTCGCGGGGATGGAACCCGCTACCAGAACCCAGGCAAGGCGTGTACAGACGCCGTGCACCGCATCTCGCAGAAAAGTCGCATCTTTCGATTGCGTGTTGGGGTCGCGGGTGACAGGCTGCAGCTTCACGAACGATGTTGAGGCGCCCTGGCGCCCGGTTGCGTACCTTTTGCTCCAATGATGTCGCCTTCGCACTCCAGGCCTGTATGTCGATGCCGGGCTGCAATTGGGGAGGGCGCAGCTCCTACGGCGGCTGGTGCTCCGGATCTGGCAACGGCGAAGGCTGCGCCTTTGAGACCACTCAGACTTCTTGCACGCAGCACGGGTGCACGTGGACCGTGGCAGCTTAACAGCCGCCATCGCCCAAAGATGATCCGACAAGAGAAAGGGACCTCGCTTTCCAGCTTCGCAGTCCTTGCCTGTCCTTTGATATTAGCCGCTCTGCCCTATGCTCTTTGCAGGCCCCATTTAGCTGGCCCACAAGAGGCTTTTTTCAGAGCTAGAGGTGTTGTTTGTGGCTTTTGAAGGAGACATGGCCATGGCCTTGAGACAGGGGCTCGGGCTCGCACGGAGCGCCCGGTGGGCGCGCTGGGCCTCCTCCTCCTCGAGCCAGGGCCGCAAGAGCCACCAGGGCCGCCAGGGCCGCCAGGGCCGCCAGGCTGGGCTGCGACCTGCGAGGGCCTGCGACGGAGCTCGCGAGCTCGAATCGAAGCGCTGTGCCAGGGATGGCAGCAGGCGGCGCACCTTGCGGCGCGGCACGCATGTGCGGCTGTGCCAGCTGTCCTTGCCTGCCAGTGCCCTCTCCCTGCTGAAAAAACTGCAGTAGGAGCTTCCTTTTCTGCAAGTGCCAGGTACCTGGACAGACACTTCTTGTCCTGCGAGGTGGGTGCTTCAGGCGCAAGCTTTGCCGCAAGCTTTGGCCTGCTCTCAGGGCTCCAGCAGCTCCAGCGGTTTGGGGGGCTCCAGCATCATCCGTTTCCGGGTGGACGTCGACCGACCCGGCCTCCTCAGCGAGGAGCCTTTTTGAGCTCTGCAAGATTCTTTTCGAAGTGAAGCAGAGCAGGCCACGGAGGTCTTGAAGAAGCAGCACGTGAACATCCGCGATGCCCGGATCTCCACTGAGGAGGGCTCGAAACGGGCGACGCACATCTACTTTGTCGAAGAGAGCGGGGAGAGGAAAGCGAGAGGAGGCCTCTCCGAGGAGCGCCTCGCAGAGGCTCGCGGGGCGGGGCCTTCGGCTTTCGGACGTCTCGAAGTTTGTGAGGTCCGGGCGGCCTTGACGCAGCTGGCCTCCGGGCCTGGAGCCGAGCCGTCGAGCCGCCTCGCCTCGCCTCGCCTCTTCCGCGTCTCGGCAGAGCCGAGGTCCTGCGAAGCCGAGCCTTGGCCAATCTTCTCCTCGGAAGAGGTCTCCAAGCACCAGACGCCTTCGACTGGGATCTGGGTCAGCTACAAGGAGAACTTTGTGCACGCAAAAACATGTACATAAGCAGTGCCTTCAATGCTTGCGTGCGTCAGTTCTCGACACATCTCGACAGCCCGCCGACCCCGACGACAGATAGAAAACATGAGAACTGGCAATGACGGCGTCTGGACAAGACAAACCAGGTGAGCTGCACAAGACAAATTACGTTGAGCCAAATGCGTCAGCCGTCCCAGCCCCAACACCGACTAGCGTTGGAGCCTTGTCTAGTGAGAATTCCTGAGATACTGATTGATGGCGGGCAGGGCTGGAACGGTGGAAGTGAATGTGTATAACCAAGAGTGGCAACGTGACTCTGCGAACCCAAAGTCAGCAAAGCGGGAAGAGTGAGTACTTGACTTTCCAACCCCTCACGTCCGCCATAGCCAATAAAAGCCACTGTTCCTCAGAATCAGAAGTGCATTTTGCCTTTCGCGGGAGGACGGCGTCTATGACATCACGGACTTCGTCCAGAACCATCCCGGTGGCAAAGACAAGATCATGCTCGCCGCGGGCAAAGCCATCGACCCCTTCTGGTCGCTCGGGGGTTAAGCATGCAAAAAACGCCCTTCTGTGTGCAACTGCGTGGCTCCGCGTGTTGTTCTGTGAGGCGCATCTACCAGCAACACACAGGAAGAGGCGCATCCGCAGTGCAACCGCATGTTGAATGGGGTGTGGGTTTCCTCGGATCGCCAGCAGCCCTAGCTGTTCTGGAAGGCAACGCACTGGAGCTGCTAGAGAGTATGAGGATCGGGGACCTCTCGGATCCTCCAGACACGACGAGGCTTCTAAGCATCGGGGGCAGTTTTTCAGGCCGCCTGGTGAATTTTGTGGAGGACGGCCTCCGACCCCTACGACACTGATCCAGAACGCCATCCTGGCCTCATCTTCCACAACAACAAGCCCTGCAATGCCCATCCGGCATGTCCTTGCTGACCCAGATTCACCCACGAACTTTGAGTGTCTTTGCTAGGCAGGATTATTAAGGGGACCCTTTTCAGCCCTACTTATGGCTCTCTTAAGAGGCTGACCTTGTTGGGAGGTCTATATCCCCAAGGGTGCCCCTAATCCTAACTCCTAGTCTTTTCGGTGTCGTGTCTGTCTCGACCAGGCAGAGCTGCCTTCGGAGTTGATGATGGACTCCTGGTTGACGCCCAACCCGGTGTGGTCTCTTGGCTGCCGGTTTAGTTTGCTTGTTGGAAATAGCACATGTGGTCAACAGAGTCGTGGCCTTGCGCGAGGTTCATCCGCCACCATCACCCAGTGCCAGAGGTGAACCCTGAAGACTACAGACTTTGCATAGAAGGACAGGTTTCGCCGTCTGCGCGTTGGATCCAACCTCTTTGATCGTGTTGTGTGCGAGGCGTTGGCACGAAGGCCGTGACTTTGTGCCTGGAGGATTTGAAGAAGCGGTTCCTGAAACGCGAGGTGCGAAGTCGGCCTCAGCTGCACGGAAGTTCACGAAACTCATAGGAAGTCACTTTTTTGCTCGGTCCTGACCAGGTGGTGGCGACGCTGCAGTGCGGAGGGAACCGGAGATCTGAACTGGATCAGATTGAGAAAACCTCTGGCATTCCTTGGGGCTTCGGGGCCATGTCGACAGCTCCTTGATGTGAATTTCTGCAACCACTTCTCTGTGACAGAAAGCACGATGATGGTTTTTGTGCCCTGTGTAGTAGCAGTGCTGCGATTTCCTGAAGAGAGGCGCGGTGGGGCGGTGTCTACCTGCGGGAGGTGCTGGGCCAGTGGGAACTTGTTGCCAATATGGATAGCTGGATAGCTGCCTCTCATGACAGCAGTGCGTTAGACAAGCAGTTGGACCAGCACGCGCGGATGCAGTAATCGTAAACGCTTCGCGTCATCCGCCTCGGCCGCAAATCAAGAGGGCCGACGAATTGCTCAGTGTCTTTAAGGAGGGGGGAGCGGGCGGATGGGGAGCAGAGTGTTGTCAGCATTGACATCCAGTTGCTCATGACATGGGCACTGCACGAATAGATGTGTACTCTGCCCAATATTAGCCTCAAGTGGGTTCCACACACCAGCAGCGAGCTCAAACAAGTCAATAGGACCAGTCGGGCCGCTAATTAAACCTTGACCTGGAGGGTTGGGGGACTTCCGGGTCCTATCAGGTTTTGCTCAGACTGCCGACAAACAACCAATTGGTCGCCGCCTGACCTTGGGGCCTAGGAAGCGCAGGGAAACAAGGGATCCTTCGGAACGTCTGAACGCTTCGGCCTGGGTGCAAGAACAGCAGAGAGCGGGCTCTTGCGAAAGCGGCGCCTCTCGGAGACTTTCAGAGAGCCTGCCGAGGGCACAGGCGGCACAAGAGTCTCTGTGCCCAGCCCCTGCCTGCAGGTGTTGCAGCATTGTGCTGGTCTCAGCCATGAGAACGTCGAGGCTTTCGATGTGAAGCACGTGATTTTCAAGGGCATGGATGGCATGGAGGCACCGCAAGAGATGCTGAATGGGGAGTAGTGCTTGCTCGAAAGATCGCATGCCCACAGGCATCCATTCCGATCGAGAAAGCCCTGAGTCCTTACGGCGACGTCCTCTTGGCCTACGAGATGAACGGAGAAGCCCTGCCAAACGAGCACGGAGCACCCGTCCGCGTGATTGCCGCCCGCCTCGCGAAAAGCACAAGTTGAGTCGGTTTACGGCCGGGGAAAGCTTGAGATGCACAGGTGCCGGGCGTGGTCGGTGTGCGGAATGTGAAATGGGTTGGCCGCGTGGTGGCTTCCACGGAGGAGGCCGAAGGGCCCTGGCAACGAGGCCATTGTATCATGGCGTGGCCTGCTCCGCATGCATCGTTACGGGCTGGCAGCGCTTGCTGCTTCAAAGTCTTGAAACACAGTTGAGCTCCCTGCGCCCTCTGCTTGCCAGCACCTCGAAGCTTCCTCCGCCCTCTGTCTCCCTAGTCTCTCAGGCCTCGCCTACAAGGGTTTCTCGCCGATGGTCAAGGCAAGGCGGGTGAGCAGCACAGTGTGCAAAGGAACTTCCAAACAATGAAGCGCTTGCGGGAAGAGAGCAAGCGGTGCAGAGGGCGTGCTGAGTTAGCAGACATTGTCGCAGCTGTCGACGTGTCGTGACCATGGCACGTGCAGAACTAATCCCTTATTAATCTATCTATCTATCGATCTTCTATCTATCTATATCTATCTATATCTATCTATATCTATCTATATCTATCTATATCTATCTATATCTATCTATATCTATCTATATCTATCTATATCTATCTATATCTATATCTATATCTCTA